CAGGGGATGGCGGGTCACGTGCCTAGGCGGTGAACCGCGGCCGTAAAATATAACTAAACTAAACTAAACTAAACTAAGCATGTTTGCGTCTCCATAATTTCCCCACCAGCCGAGGCTGGCAAAGCTTAGCTCTGTCTTTCTTGGGCCGATTCACCCGGCCGATTCACCCAGCCTATTGCACCTCGCTTAGATTGCTGTTCTTATTTGGTTTTTGGCTGGTTGTGTTTTCATGGTTTTTGAGTTGTCTATGTATGCGCTGCTCTGCTCTCCACACTCTGCTAGTAGCCCTAAGCCGCGAGTATAGATCTGCCAAATCGCTATAGCTTCCCAGTAAAGTGCTACCGATTTGGCCCCCAATGATATCCCGTTCCTTGGAATTTGGCCCCCAAGTATGTTCCCTATCTCCACCTTGTGTTGAGAGACATTGTCCTGTCCGAATGCCTGCTATTGGTGATATGTGGGGACCAAAGATCAGATTCTTGTTGAATGTGGGGTACAAATCTGGACTTGCCTTGATTTATACTAAACTATGGGATAGTGGTCTTGCGAAGGTGCAGAAGTTCGACCTAGTGTGGACGTTTTTATGGTTATTGTGGGCGCCATGCTGTGTCTTGAGGTATTTTGTGGATTATGAGTGACTGAAAAGGTATAAATAGGGGGGCATGTGAAGTCTTTAGATGTGTGTGTTCAGTTTCGAAGTCTACTATCTTCTCTTCTCAGTCCATATACTCGATCACCTTATACATACATTAACCCTCTATACCACCACCACCCAAAATGGGACTCTCTAAAACCCTCCTCAGCATTTCCCTCATCGTCGGCCTCACCACCGCCGCTGTCCCCTCCGGCGCCTCGCTCTGCGTAGGTCAAGGCAAAGGCAGCTGCCAATTCGGTGCCTACCAGCTCCAACCAACAGACACCTGCGAGGACCTCCAAAAGAACGCCGCCTTCATCTACGACCACGCCTGCAACCAGATCGGCCACGTCGAGAACTTCGCCGAGGGCGACTCCATCGACTCCCAACTGCCGTACACCGTTGATGTGCTGAGAATTACGGGCGGGCCCTCTTGCAATATCAAGTATAAGATTGCGTACAGTGCTGGGGATTATGGGTATGGGGAGCCGGCCGGGGGGGTTTGGGGGAGTTGCTCGGAGCCGGGATATGCGTGCAACTATTATCGGGTTGCGTTTCCTTGTCCGGGTTTTTAGTTGGAGAGAACTTTTTGCAGTTAGGTGTATCTTACTTAATATAGGACAATGTGATGGTTAAGGCTGTTGTAAAGAATGTCATAGGCAATATACATTAAGACAGGGATATCAGTCCTATTATATATCCTCCCTTTCAATCCACAGCAACACTACCAGCCATATCACCAAACATCTCAATCGCATGCCCAAGATAATCCCTCGCTCCCTGCAACCGAGGAACCATATCCACTCCCCAACGGCAGCAATTTCTCCGCCGTGTGCTCCTCGCCAACTACAACCTCGTATAAGGCCTGCATAGCATTGTCCTTGTCCCCATTAGGCTTGATCTTGCCACTCAAAAGAAGCCCCTGCACCTGTTCCGTCAATGTCCCCTTATAGTCCTCAGGGAGAGGGGCCGTCCCTAGAACAATAGAGTTACGCATGTTCGTGTTGAACGTCCCTAGGATAACAGTTAGTATGCGGATGTTGAACGGGGCTACTTCTTTCGCCAGGATCTTGGTAAGACGGAACGAATCCTAGGTAAGAGAAAGAATCATATACTATCCACCCCAGCCTTAGCACCGCCATACAACCCCATCGTCGGAATCCCATCCAGCGACGCCCCACTATTCATATTAACAATCACCCCAGACCGGCGCCGGCGCATACAAGGCAGCACCGCGTGGATCAAGCGCAGCGGCCCAAAGAACATATTCTCCATTTTCGCTCGAATCTCTTCCTCTATGCTTGTCTCGACAGGCGCGTAGATAGAGCCCCCGGCATTGTTAACCAGGACGTCGATTTCTTCGCCGGCATGCTCAAGATCCGTGATATACGTCACCGCTTTGCGCGCTATCGACGTCTAGTTGGACCCATTTGCCTCCTTTGCTCTCGATCTCTGTGACGAGGTCAGGAGTGCGAGGGGGATTACGCGAGGTGGCGATGACTCTGTGGCCGCTGGCTTGGGCGGCGCGCGCGAGGGAGAGACCGAAGCCGGAGGAGCAGCCGGTTATTAGCCAGGCTAGTGTCTTGGGGGTCATGGTTATGGTTTGTGGATTTATCGATTGGTTAGAAGATATATTGTTGGTGATGGTGGCTACATGCTTGAATTTATCACTTGGGCTTATTGAATCCTGCCGGAGATAGCGGGGTTTACGGGATAGCCTAGGATGCGGCATAACCACGGTTATGGGTAGTGATTTGATACCCATGGCCGCAATTGTTGCGGGTACCCGCTGTCACGGGCTTGGCAGTGGGTAGGTGTGCTTCTACCCGCCAAGACCGTTTAGTAGGTCTGTAGGACGTTTTACCAACTGAGCTACAAAAAAGACCAGAATACCAAGTTAACGACTTGGTACGCGCATCGCTCTATATAGTGGTTCTTGGTCAGTTCGTCACACCCGCACGGGAGCCGCACTAGCATAAATTTCGCTTAATTATCAATTTTTGGCCACCAGCATAGCTTTTATGAAACTTAACTACGTTAACTGATTTCTAAACATGTGTTCTAGTTTTTCCAATACAATTCACTATTTGTGCTACAATTGCTTGGTAATTATACGAAATTATATTGTATGTATTAATTAAAGCCTCTATTCATTTAGACTATCTCTTTTTTATAAGCCTCATTTGTTATATAGACCTATAATTTTAAGAGTTGTGGTTGTAAGCTAAGCTAATCTTGAAAATATATATTTTTCATTAAGGCCTTCGCGATGAATTTCTAACAAAGTTCTACAATTTACACTCTCAAGTCTCAACACTCGACATCTATCTTGCAAATTTAAAAATATAATAAAATACTAAAAATCAGGTCATTCCAGATACCGAATCACAACAAACAGTTTATATATACTTATTTAAAGACACTAATTTGCTGATGATAGTCATGAGGGTATGGGCTATGCGGCCACTTATCTGACCAATCAGATCTAACTATTACTTTCTAACACGTCGAATTCGCGTTGTTTACGACCACGAAGGCTACAATTTGGAAAAAAAAAAAACTGTAAGTCTCTGGCCTTCCCCCTATTCTCTGTCTACAATATCATATGCTGGAATAGCCTACAATGTCTCAATCACATACATCTTTTTACTCTGATTCTCTCATTGATCCTGATCTCTTACTATCAGATAGCTTTCCTGAGATACCAGAATTCTCAAGCAGCCAAGCGACCATCTCCTTAAATTCGAATTACTTTCCTCCTCAACCAGCTTATGCCTCAAAAGGCCTTATACACATTGGGCCTACATTACAACGTATCTAGGTTTTATATGAGACTTATCCCGATATGGAGGACTCTCGGAAACAATTTATTGAGTGGTAGCTTACGACAGGATATAGTAAGCAACAGAAGAGAAGTAACATCGATTAGGATAGCAAAAAGACATCAGATATCTGGCAAGACTTTGAGCAAGTAGCACATGAACGAATAGGACAAAACGAATAGGACAACCTAAGGTTAAATATAAGCGTTAGTTACTACTAAATCTTGCTAAGATCACTATTATCTAGATACGACAGTCTCAGGTATATTTCAATACTTACCTCCTTTAACAAAAAAATACTGAATCTGATTGCTACCGCTCGTCTCCTATTTCGAATTGTTAAACATTCAGCCTTTCATGACCTCCTTCAAACTACACAATTTGCCGAATTGAAACTGGAAATTTCCTCTGCGCGTACTATCCGACGTCTTCTTGATGATAATGTAAAGGAAAAGCAGTCAAATATGCTGAACAGACTCCCAACGGGAAGTTATTTATCAATTGCGCTAGATTGCTGGACATCTCCTTTCTTACAGGCGTTCATGGCAATAACTGGATATTTCCTTGATCAAGGTTGGAATCACTGTAAGGTTCTTCTTGGATTTGAGCCATTAGATGGCTCGCATTATGGTGTCCACCTTGGTAAAACTGTAACCCAAATCTTTCAGCAGCATAGTATCACGGACAGAGTGCTCTCAGTCACTACTGATAATGCGTTAAATAATAATACAAGGATAACAGCTAATCAGGAAGTTGGCCAATCTCTAGCACTTGATAAGGACCAACTATTCTGCATTCCGTGCAATACTCATGTTATACAACTAAGTCTCAGAGAGCTACTTGGAAAGCTTAAAGCAAATCGATAAGATAGAGTCTACATGGGTAGATATACCACAGCATCTACAGCAATTGAACATCTAACGATATCCAAATATTGTTCGGACTCTTAAGAAGGTAGAAAAAAAATTTCGTACCTCATATTTCGGCCGAAATATCTCTTACCCTGTTTTTCAGCATTTTTGGATTTCACAAATGTGTTATCAAAAACTAGAGATGTAACTATTCACTATATCTTCAGCATCTATAACAAGCTGTTCAATCATCTTGATCTTGCGAAGAAGAAGCTACAACGCAAATCAGTCTCTTGAAAAAAGAAGATACTATCAGCACTTGAAGCTGCAGATGCAAAGCTCAGCAAATACTATAGAGAGACGGATAGTGAGTCCTATAGCTCAGTATATACTATTGCAACTATCCTATGTCCATCAAAGAAACTTCGATAATTTGATAATTCAGACTGGAGAGGCGATGATGAAAATGGAAATAGGGTTAACTGGATGAGACATTACCAGGGCATTCTTCAGTCAAAGTTTGATCGCTATCAACAACGATACTACAGAGAAGAGCAACCAGCTGATGTTAGGAGAGTATCTCATTCAGTAATAGATGAGCTTGATAAGCTATGTGACTCACAGACAGCTCTAGAGGCTGAGGTTGATCGCCGAGATGATAAGCTTATTCAGTATCTTGCAAAAGGTAAATCTAATTATCTAATTTGCTATTCATATAGTTACTAACTATGATAATAGGTTTTATGAAAGGTAATCCTCGGATATTCCAGAAAGATCATGCACAAGAATATCCTGTCCTTGCAAGACTTGCACGCGATATTCTATTTATACCAGCAAGTGGAGCTGGTATTGAACGGCTTTTCAACTGTACTCGTAATATATGCCACTATCGTGGAGGGCAATTAAAAGAGGATACAATCAAAGATCTAATGATTCACCTCTGCTCAACAAAATTTGAACGTGAGCATAGTGAGCTTGATTTGATCAGAGAGTAACTCTCTATTGGAGAGGCTACACTATATGATCAGGAAACTAAGCCTATTCCTACACTTGCTGAGCTTGATCCAATCAGTGAAGATAAGGAGCAAAAACAGGAAACAGATAATTTATCTGATGATTCAGACAATAAGCTGCTTAAGCAAATATTATCTGCAACTCAGCCTATAGCATAACGCAAGCGAGCAACCAGTGCCACTGAGCCTCAGGATATTACTGAGAAATACACACAAGGGCGATCAGGAAGGATTCGGAAGAGGCCAAAAATGCCAGATAGATTTGAGATAGACAAGATATAATGTAAATAGTCAAGGCCTGTATTTACAAGTAGATCAAGAGCTTGCCAGGTTAAATCCACGGATTAATAAAATCAAAGAAAGAAGGAGTCGCTGTAGCCTGGGATACCAGCTGTATTAATATCTATTAGGAACAAAGAATCAGGATCTTAATTTCTCATTTTGTTGATCTTACATACGTACTTGATTTTCTAGCCAGGCCGATGGCTTTCCCTTTCCGTTTTAGTGCTCACCCCTCGCCGCTTTTTGCTCACTGAGTAGACCTGAGCACACCCCGAGCAGCCTAAGGCGATCACTGAGCACGGAGTGAGCGGAAGACTGAGTGCCCTGGGCGATTAACCTCAATAAACTGCCCCGTTATGACCCTTTGCCTTTCATATCCTTATATATTCCACCCCTCGGAGGTTGGATAATTCAACGCTAACAAAATAAACCCTGTCAACTCCTGTCTCAAGACAACCATGCCACGGGCAAAGATTAGCGCGCAAGGCGAGTATGGACTTACAATGGGGAACAGTTCTTTGGTTAATGTTACAGGCCTAGACACAGTCTGCTGGGGATGCCAGCGCTAAGATGGTCTATAATACACACGCAATATTACCTCTCATTAATTATTGCACAGTAAATCATGTGAAAAGGGGACTCATACGCAATTGGTTGGATATGTTGCTGCGGCTGAGCCTACCAATTGACACCCAACGCAGCCTCATCCCCAACCCACACCTTCTTTCCTCGAGAGCCACGCATTGAGCGCTTTTTCTAGGTCAAATACAAGCCCCCTCCCCGCCATACTGAGTTCTATGACAAACTTTGAGCGAACTGGGCGTCCTCGTGCGCAAACACCACCGACCGCAGCATATTAGTGCCTCATTCCGCTTTTCCTCTCGAATACGCCGTGAACCCCTTTCCAGAATGGCTTTCCAGGCCTGTGGCCAGCCTAGAACCCATAACGACTACACTGTGGGATGGGTCTGCGCTCTACCGAAAGAACAGACCGCGGCTACAGCCATGCTGAAGAAGCACGCCGATCTCCCAAAGCCGCCCAATGACCCCAACACATATACCCTTGGGTCAATCAGCCATCATAACGTTGTCATATGCTGCCTACCAAGTGGGATTTACGGCCAGATACAAGCAGCCGCCGCTGTTAGCTGGATGATATCCGCTTTCCCGTCGATAAAGTTCGGCCTTATGGTCGGCATTGGGGGTAGTATTCCGACCAACGACGTTAGACTTGGTGATGTTGTGGTCAGTCAACCGGTCGATAATTTCCCTGGTGTGGTGCAATGGGACCTTGGCAAGGCGAAAGACGGTGGTAAATTCGAGCGACGTGGCGCACTGAACATTCCCCCACTCTCGCTCCTAACGGCTTTATCGAAATTGAAGACAAAAAACGAGATGATGGGCTCAAAGATACCGACGTATGTGCAGGAACTGGGAAAGAAGTGGCCAAGACTAGCGCCGAACTATGTAAGGTCGAAATCATTCAAGGATGTATTGTTTGAAGCAGACTACAGCCATGTCGGGCAGAATGCAATGCATTGTGGGCTCTCCTCAGAGGACGACGATCACGATAGCGACAAAAGACATCCGTGCCGGTTCTGCGACAAGACTAGGATTGTGAAGAGGTCGCAGAGAGATATGGCTGTGCAATTTGGTCTCATAGTATCGGGTAACAAAGTTATCGAAGACGCTACCGTCCGAGATAAGCTGAACCGCGATCTTGGTGGTCGCGTTCTTTGTATCGAAATGGAAGCGGCGGGACTGATGAACAACTTCTCATGCCTCGTCGTTCGAGGGATTTGCGACTATGCAGACTCACACAAAAACGACGCTTGGCAGGAGCACGCTGCTGCTGTAGCGGCTGCGTTTGCAAAGGAGCTTCTAGAGTGTGTACAGCCAAGCGATGTTGACCATGAGCAGCCAGCGAAGGGAAAGATAGACAAGAGTTAGTCGGCCACAGGTTTACTTTCTAACTCCACAACCAAATTCTAATGATATATTAGTTCATGACTGTGTATCTGCGACGGCTAGGGATGTCAAGTCCATAAGGTCCGGACTAGGAAAACAGGAAGAACTTGAGATACTCGACTGGCTTACCCTGACTAACTACGGTTCTCAGCAGAGCGACAGTCTCCGGAGGCACCAGCCTGGGACCGGTCAATAGTTTTTTGATTCTGCAAAGTACCAGACTTGGTTGAAGACGGAGGGCCAGGTGTTGTTTTGTCCAGGAAATCCCGGCGCTGAGAAGACAATCCTCACATCGATAGTGGTGCATGATCTCAACAAACAATTTTCCAAGGACGCAAAAGTCGGCATTGCGTACATCTACTGCAAATTCGGCCAACAAGGAGAGCAGACGGCGGAAGACTTAACAGCCAGTTTAGTCAAACAGCTAGCTGGCAAGCAGCCCTTTCTACCCCAATTCGTGAAAGAACTGTACGATCGCTACAAAGTCCAAGGAACACGACCATTGCTTGATGAACTTTCAAAAGCGCTCCATTCCGTGTCGGCTATCTATTCGCGAATTTTCGTCTTGGTTAACGCACTTGATGAATGCAAAATATCCGATGGCTGTCGATCGATTTTCCTGTCGGCGATTTTCTCCCTCAAGTTGCGTAAAGCGAATATCTTTGCGACTTCACGGCCTATCCCTGAGATAGCAGAGAGGTTTGAAGGGGCCACGACGTTGCCAATACATGCAAGAGAAGACGATGTGCGACGATATCTGGACGCCCAAATGTTCCAATTGCCGCATTTCATCGCCGACAGCATTGAGATGCAAGATGAAGTCAAGACTGCAATCATCCGATCAGTTGACGGCATGTATGTAAAATCTCTCAAATAAGACACAGAAAATTCAAGCTAATCGGGTCTAGGTTCCTGCTGGCACAACTTCATCTCGATTTGCTAATTGGGCAAAGATCGCTTGCATCCGCCCGAACTGCTTTGAAAAGTCTGCCAACGGGATCCGAGGCATATAACAAAGCATACGAAAATGCGATGGCCCGAGTTGAGGGGCAAAATGAGAAACGAGCATACCTTGCCAAAGAAGTTCTTTTATGGATCACTTTCGCAAAGAGAACTCTTTTTGCAAGAGAGCTTCAACATGCTCTTGCAGTAGAAGTTAGAAAACACAAACTTGACGAGGAAAACCTACCCCGAGTTAAAGATATGATCTCAGTATGCGCTGGACTGGTCACTGTGGACGAAACAAGCAGCATTATACGTTTGGTACATTACACTACCCAACAGTACTTTGAACGAACACACACTAAGTGGTTCCCTAACGCGGAAAATAATATTTCGGGAATATGTGCAGCCTATTTATCATTTAGTGTGTTCGGGAGCGGGATTTGTGAAACAGACGCCAGGCTCGAGGAACGACTGAAGTTTAACCCGCTCTACATGTACGCCGCCTGCAATTGGGGACATCACGCCCGTGATGCTTCGGCTTGTCCTCAGACCGTCATCAAGCTTCTCGAGAAAAAAGCTCAAATGGAAGCGTCGATTCAAGTATTGATGGTTTCCGGGATAAGATTGGGTGGTTACAGCCAGAGGTTTCAAAGGCAGATGACAAGTCTTCACCTGTCAGCTTATTTCGGAGTTGAGAAAGCAGCTGCGGTCCTCCTCAAGACGGTTAAGCCTAATTTGGAAGACAGCTCTAGGTCGACGCCATTGTCATACGCTGCAAAGAATGGCCACGAGGCAGTGGTCAAATTACTGCTCGAACACGGAGCCAGTACTTGCCTTAGAGACTCAAATGGCCGAACATCTTTATTGTGGGCAACCTTGCACGATAACATACCCGCTATAGCGCTATTAGTCGAGCATAGCGCTAGTATTGTTTCTATGGATGTATACGGCGACACACCTCTAAGGTGGGCAAGAATTAACAACAGTGAACCTGCGGCCATGTTGCTACTAGCAAAAGACATAAAGCTATACTCCAAACTCAGCAGTCGTCTAGAGATGTTCTTTTGGGCTGCAGAAAATTGCCATCAGAATGTGCTTAAGCTGCTACTCCAAAACGGGGTGAACATCGACTGCAGACAGAGCATTACGTGTATGCGTTCAGGTTTATTAAAAGCTACCAAGGAAGGAAATGAAGAAGCTGTGAGATTTTATCTTGAGGCAGGGACAAATGCTCATTCGAGTGACTTCGCTGGGGATACACCTTTGTCAATAGCCGCTGGTAGAGGATCTGAAAATATGGTGCAGCTTCTTCTCAAACATGGCGCCAATGTCAACTTGCTTGTTGGACGAATACCGCTGATGTCGGCAGCTTTTTCAGGAAACCAGAAAATGGTCAAGCTGCTCATTGAAAAAGGCGCAGACGTCAATTTTAAGGATGTATATGGCCGACTACCACTGATGACAGCGGTAAAGGAAAGACATCTAGCGGTGGTTGAGCTGCTTCTCAAAGAAGGTACAAATGTTGATTCCGAGGATGGATGTGGGAGGAGGCCGTTGTCACAGGCTGCAGAAATTGGATGCGAGGAAGGCGTTGAGCTGTTGCTGAGGCACAGTGCGATAGTTAATTATAAAGATCAAGATGGCAGGACACCGTTATGGCGCGTCGCAAAAGGGAAACATAAAGGAGTCGCTAAACTACTTTTGGAGTACGGCGCCGATGTTAATTTGGAAGGCATTGACGGTAGCACACCGCTATCAATGGCCATTATGAATGGGCGCATGGACATTGTCAAGCTATTCCTCGATCACAGTGCTGGTTCTGTCTCTATGAACACTGATTATGGGCAAAGGCTGCTATACTGGACTGTCAGCAATGGTGACGAGAAGATGATGCGGCTCCTGCTACAAAAAGGAAGAAGTGTTGATTCCACGTGCACTGAACATAGTCGGACACCGTTGTCTTGGGCCGCAGCAGAAGGGAAGAGCGAAATGGTCAAGCTCGTGCTTGAGAAAAAGGCAGAAGTAAATCTGGCAGACAGCAATGGTCAAACACCACTATTTTGGGCTGCAGAAAGAGGGCATGATGCAGTGATCAAGCTCCTGCTTAAGAGCGACGCAGAGGTCAATATAGCAGGCAGTAATGGTCAAACGCCACTATTTCGGGCTGCAGA